TTTCATGTTTTACTACAAAATATTTCAAGTTAAATAATATATTATTATAGTGTGATAATGATATAATTAATAATAAAATAATTATTGATTTTCGATTTTCATAAAATAAACATAAACATGTTTACATTCCAGATTGACAAGAAACTTTTTATGATCAAAATTAATTTTTTTTTTTGGCAATGACCAGTAAGAATATATTTTGATGATTAAAACAATAATTATTATTACATACAGTTTTAAATGCCATACATATTATTTTTTTTTATAAATTTAACCATTTTAAAATGATAAAATTACAAGCGCTTTATTTTTTATAATATGAATTTTCAACTAAATAGTTAGTGGAATGATTGTTGTGCAATATCTGACAAATTGTTTATAATATATATGCTGGAAATTCGAGGTAAAAACAAATATGTTTGTGGTGCGTATGTAGGTTTGTGTTGTATTCGGGAAGTATAGCGTTCTATGAAATATATACTTATTCATTTTCTCTGATGACGTAATATTAACGTTCCACATTCACATTTGGTTAATTATTGTTTTTAACATTAGAGTAATTTACCGGCAATCACGATCATTGATGATTTAATATTATTGATAAGATTATTCCTTGTATTTTTTTTTAATATTTTAATTTTGAATTAAGTATTAAGTATTTTATAATGTTTTTTTATTATACTGTATATTAGCTTAATAGACAAGTTTGATAAAAAGTAAACATAGGTACTCTAATATTAAAATAACAAAACTGTATTGGAAATTTGGAAATGTTAAACGGAAATTTAGTATTTGAAATATTAGACGGGCGAACAACGAATGCGTGTGCATCGACGTATCGTCGTAGTCCTCTAAATACATTTTTATGCAAATTAAAAAAATATATTTTTGTTTACGCTTGTCATTTAGGTTCTGCTCCGATAATTCCATTTTGTCAACGATATCGATGCAATTCGCCTGTCATCATTGGTTTAATCATTACTTCCACTTCCAGCCTTACTTATAAGACCCGTTGTCGGCGCCATTACCGATAGATACAAATGCCGCAAGAACGCATTCATTTCAATCATAGTTATCAACAGTCTAGTTGTGTATGTACTGATGTTTATACCGGGCAAGAATGTTGAAACACAAATTTCCGACGTTAATGTGATCAAGTCACCGATTTTTTGGTTGTTTTTCACCACAGTCACCATACTGAGGACATGTATCACGGCGAGATCCATTTTGGAGAATACAATATGCAGTGGCGTATTTACGGGGGGGGGGGGTCCCCGGGTCTGGACCCCCCCCAGAAAAAAATATAATATAATATAATTATTACATCGTAACTCGTATGTGTTTTTTTTATATTATAAACTTGTAGGTACCTAATATTTAGACCCCCCCCCACAAAAAATTTCAAAATACGCCACTGACAATATGTATCGGTCTATTAGATAAACGTAGTTATTTGAAACAACATTATTATTATTATTTATTACAAGTATGAAGAACAATATTGAGAAAAAGTTGTTTACTGGTATAAATACTTAAAGTTTTAATTTACAATATAAGACATCTCGTGTATAAATTATACAGTTTATTTTGCTTATATGTTTATAAAAAATCACCTATTTACTAGCTCTTACTAATCATTAATAAGTCACCTTGAAAAAATTATAATTTTTGTTGATTAGTTGATAGTTTTTATATTTTCTTTATTTCTGATTCACTTGATATTTTCCGTTAAGGTGAAAATAAACATAAATATGGTCAACAGAGAGTTTGGGGAGCAGTTGGTTGGGGCACCATATCACTCGTATCCGGCGTGGTTATAGACTGGTTCAGTTAAGGTCATATCTACAAAAACTATACAACCAGTAAGATAATTGTATTGATGGTTAGAATTTTGAATATTTATGTTGCATCGAAAATTGAGGTAAATATAAATTAACAATAGATTTTATATGGTATTCTGAGGTATTAGGAATACATTATAAATAATTAAACGTTAAGGAACCTAATTATTTTTGAATTAAAATACCAATAATTACTAATTATTTATTTAAAATATTAAAAAAATAAGTGAATAACATCGTTTTCCTTTATATTTTATTGTAACCTTAGTCCTTAAACATATATGAAATTTAATATTAAATCATAATGTTAATTTACATTTTAAACAAAACTTATCATGGATTTAATTCAAATACATTAATAAACAATGAAATAGTTTTATTTTTACTGTTTTAGGTTGTTCAAAATAGAGAAAGTAAAATTGAAGCATCTGATGTAAAAAAATTGTTGACTAAAATAAGAGTACTGTCAGTTATTTTCTGGGTTGTAGCTTGTGGATTTCTCAATGCCTTCCAGTAGCCTTCCTTAAGGGGGGGAGGGCAAGGGGGGCAATTGCCCCGGGCAGCACTTTTTTGGGGGCAGCAAATTTAACTGGGAGTTTTTTTTTTAAACAGATGTAAAAAAAAAATAATAAAAATGTTAGTTATTTTTTTATATAGGCAAATCAATGTCAACAAAACGTGATATTAATATCAACACTACAACACATAGTCCAGTCAAATTAGGAAAAGATCGGAAAAAATTCGCCCCAACTGAATTTTGGTACACACTTAAAATGTACCTTCCCAATTGACATACTAAAAGTCCTGACCCCTAACCCCTGTGCGTATCTCTCCACCCCCCAAAAAGGGGTGAAATCTACCCTCCCACTATTTTTCTTATAACTCGTTAACCATTGAACTCACGACAAAAAAGTATAGGACCAAAATTAAAGACCGTAAAATTTACTATAAGAATATAATATTGTAATCACTACAATTTTAAAGTGGTAGTTTTAAGTAAACTTTTTTTTAAAAAAACTGAATTTTTTTTTTTAATTTTTTTTCAGCCAAAATTTATAGTTTTAAACGAAAATGACCTATAAGAAAAATGATAGCCCTTTGTTTTTACATAATATACTTTTTTAAATTTTTTTTTTATATTCATTACCATAAGATTTAAGGTAGTTGTTATGTAAGATGCGGCGGTGTTATATCTGTACTGTTGATAATACGAACCAAGTTCGAACATAATGTAAAAATTCACTGAAACCTGAATATTGGCATACACCTACTATATACTTCATTAATGATCATACTTAAAGTTCTGACGCTTACCCTTCGTGCTTACCCTTCTAACCCCCCCAAGACCTAGACCCAACAAAATAGGCGAAATAAATGAGCGAGGTCGGCAAAAACGTATGATGCTGTGTGCTAAAGGTAAGTATTTATTTTCACATTTTTTTTGATCGGATTTTTTTTTTGTACCACAAACATTAGATAAAAATAAAGTTAAACTTTTTGGTACATCGTTTGCAGCATTATCCATAACTTTGTTTGGTGAAGGATAAGAATTCAGCTCGTAAACTGTTGACCTTATATCTTCTCTTATGATACAAGCTGCCATTTCTACTATTCTTAACCGTTCTTCGTCCTTATTTTTTTTTTTTTGAAGTATACCACGCTTCGGTCAAAATTTTAAATGAAGTATCCTTAAAACTAACAATTGCTTTTTTTCCATGAGTTGTTGTAATAATTAAGTCCTCTCCGTACTTCTCAATCAATTTATTTCTGAAAGTTTTCTCATCACACGTACCATTCATTTTTTCATATAAAAATTGTAATGTAAATTGACACTCGTTTCCAACCTCGATATACTCGCATACATCACTAAACGCCTTTAATGCATCTTCATCTTGCGGACGTCCCCTCTTCTTTTTTTCTTGTGATGATATATTTTTACAAAATTTTCTTTCGCAAGATTTATGATAAATTGCTTCTTCAGCAAACTAAACATATAACACTATCTAAACGTTTCAAAACTGTTTTTCCCCATTCATCGTTCCTCATTTTCGCCATATCTTCAACAGATTGTTTAAAATGAAGTGTACAAACATTATAGATAATATCGCGACGTTCCTTACTTTTTTTCAATTCATTCTCTATCGAACATTTTTTATCGCAAAATAAACAATTTTTCTTAAAATTAAATACGTAAGTGGAACGTAATTTACCTTTGACTGGTGACGTCATCATCATTGGGGGGGGGGGGGGGTTAGAAGGGTAAGCACGAAGGGTAAGCGTCAGAACTTTAAGTATGATCATTAATGAAGTATATAGTAGGTGTATGCCAATATTCAGCTTTCGGTGAATTTTTACATTATGTTCGAACTTGGTTCGTATTATCAACCGTACAGATATAACACCGCCGCATCGTACATAACAACCACCTTAAATCTTATGGTAATGAATATAAAAAAAAATAAAAAAAAGAGTATTATGTAAAAACAAAGGGCTATCATTTTTCTTATAGGTCATTTTGGTTTAAAACTATAAATTTTGGCTGAAAAAAAATTTTAAAAAATATATTCAGTTTTTTTTAAAAAAAAAGTTTACTTAAAACTACCACGTTAAAATTGTAGTGATTACAATATTATATTCTTATAGTAAATTTTACGGTCTTTAATTTTGGTCCTATACTTTTTTGTCTTGAGTTCAATGGTTAACGAGTTATAAGAAAAATAGTGGGAGGGTAGATTTCACCCCTTTTTGGGGGGTGGAGAGATACGCACAGGGGTTAGGGGTCAGGACTTTTAGTATGTCAATTGGGAAGGTACATTTTAAGTGTGTACCAAAATTCAGTTGGGGGCGAATTTTTTCCGATCTTTGTTGATTTTTGATCTAATTTGACTGGACTAACAGCTATTTTGTGAAATTAATCCTCACACTTCATAATAATCGCTCGTGTATTGGTTTATTATTTGTAACATTATTTTTATTGAACGGCGTGTTAAAATCTTTACAGTGTGTAAAATAGACAATAGTGTAATTATAAGTTAAAACATTTTAGTCAGCTTGAGGTATGCTAATCAGTCCCTTATTTTATATTAGTATACAAAATATCTATAGTACCTACCTAGGCATTATAATTTTTATTTGTTGAAAACAGTAAATTATGCAAGTATGATGTCTTATGAAAATATTAATACTTCATTTGGATTTTTGTTCAACACTACTGAGTTGTCAGTGTTAGAAGTAAGACAAAAAGCTGGAGAGTTACAAAAATCGTTTATGAATGAATGTATTCATTTTCGTGGTTACTTAAAAGGCTTACCAGAAAGCGTATCCATAAAATTGGTGCTATATTTGTGTCGAGTCATAAAAGATGATAATTTGCTAGATATTTACCCAATACCCATATGTTAATTTTGCATTGCGAATGTTTTTGTGTGTTCTGCATCAAATACTTTGGACGAGCATTCATTCAGTACTCTTAAAAGAGTTATATCATATCTTAGAACTTCGATGAATGATAATCGTTTAAAATCTTTGCCGATTCTGAATATTGAATCTCAGTTGACAACTTCATTAAACTATGATGAAATAATTGAAGATTTTGCAAGATCAAAATCGCGACGAAAAATATTAACTTAATGATGTTTGTTGACTTGTTGACATTTTGTTCACTACTTTGTAAATAGATATAAAAATAAATTAATACATTTTACAATTTGCTTATTATTTTGTTATCATGGGCACTACTGAGAAAACATACGATATTCAACATTCTAGGGCACTCGATAGATTTTATGCTGCATGGCCTGCATTATACAATTAGCATATCACTGATTGTAAGTTTTGTATGGGGTAAGAATATTGCCACTATGATTTTCAAATCGGTGAGATGAAAAGGGCGTTAAAAAAATGTTGTACCCCCAGGGCCAGCAAAATCCTAAATACGCCAACTGATGCCTTCCTAATGGTTTTAGTTATTATGGTAAGCAATAATCTCATAGTGTTCAAAGATATGAACATATTAGATAGAAACAAAGAGAATTTTTACTTATTATTTTTGATTGTAACTTCATAAGTATTTACTGAAAATCTATTAAATTTTCAAACAAGATTTGAATACTCATACTGTCTAATAATCTTCTGGAAAAGCTGGAAAGACTGTTGAATTGAATGGCAAATTTTATAATTTTTCATATCATATCTTATTGTTTATTAGACATATACAATATACATGCTCAGATTGTGGAATTTCTGTTTTAATAAAAAAAGCATTTAAATAATAAATTTATAATATTATTTTCCCTCGATTATCCAAAATGACGACTAAATATGATATTGTAAAGTAGGTAAGTGTAAATTAATATGTGGTGAACGGATATTTAAATATTTTAAGGCCCCTGCGAACCCTATTAATTTTTTATCAAAAACCAACCTTAGCGACTGACAAAAATTAAAGTACTTATAGTGGTTTGATTTAAAAAATGTAAATATGTTTTAATTGGTCAACAAGTCTACTTAACATAGGTTGGAGCATATTTCTTATGTTTTAGATATTTATGAATATATTCAATACTAAAAATTTATAAATTTATAAAATGTAAAATATTTATTCTCGTCAAGAATTTGTTAAAATTGAAAAAGTGCTCCAACCGATGCAGAGTAAACTTGTTTACTAACACAAAAATCTTTAAATTTTTTAAAGCAAACCACTAGAAGTACCTTAATTTTTGTCAGTGCGACGGCTATTTCACGGCCATAAATTGGTTTTGAACATTTTGATCTAGACATTAAATGACTTGTGCATGTGGATACGTGCGACCATTAACCAAATAAGAAATAACAATGTATTGTAAATTGATGCTGGTCGCGGGTGATAGTGGGAGGAGCATACACACACTAATGATAATTTACTATACTAGATTTTTTTTAGTAAGTATTTTCAGTTCAAATGTTAAAAAACTATTGTCAAAAAATTTGCAAATTATTTCGTAGTTATACACTTTTGAAATGTAAATTATTTATAGCCAAGACTTAAGAATGTAATACAAGAATCCTCATAAATCTTTACTATTAGGTATATTATTCTGAAACCATAAAATCTTAAAAATACGCAAACACAATATTTTTACAAGCTTTTAAAGTTCACATTTGCACCAAATTTGCTCTGATAAAACCTAGTAGATCAATTTGTTTCCATATTATGTTGGTTTTTCTTTGGGTTAATACTGCAGGTATATAGGCTTTTAAATATTACAAAAATATACTAGCTGAATCACCTTTTACTGCTGGTTAAAGTAAAAAAAAAAAGGTGGGCAAGTGGGTGTCGCTCTGCTGTACAGTAGGTTACAAGTGGGTCACTGTATAATGGATGGTATTAAATTTGAATTCAATGATATAATATCATTGTATAAGAAAAACGATTCTGAGCGGTGATGGTATGTCAGTCTATGTATAAGGCATATTATATACATATCTATGGTATTAAACAAAAAATTGACCTATAATAGGTACCTATAATAAATTCCAAATTAATCATATCACAATATCCATTAGATACTTATAACGCGTTATACATCAACAAAAACCGTGATACTATCATAGATATATAAATATATAATAGTACACTTTAGAAGTTTCAAGTACCCACGAATAGTATTATTCAATCACAACAAAATAACTAAAATCGTAATTCTTGGTTTAAATATGAAATTTTGTCTAAATTTGAAATTAAAATGTCTGTAAAAAATAAGTGTGTTTATATATTTTTTAGATTTTTTGGTTACAGTATGAATTATTTAAGAGAATCTTTGTTTTAAATTTTCAACTCTTAGTTATAAAAACTGAACATTTTATAATTTTTTAATTCCAACGATTGATTATTTTCGAGATTTTGATAAATTTTGTCAAAATTCCAACTTTAAATGCTTATAAAAAAAAATCGTGCTTATGTATTTTTAATATTTTTCAACTGATATTGTAACAATATATCAGGAGCCTTGTATTAAATTTTTACACTTTTTGGCCCAACAGATAAAACTTTATTGATATTTATAGAAAAAAAAACTAAAAAAAATTGAAAGCTGTAAATGTCCATTAACAGCTCAAAAAGAGTCAAAATATTTTCAAAATTGTATGGTGTATAGAAAATGCTAATTTAAACATTCAGTGAAATTTTCATGTATCTACAGTTGTTCGTTTTTGAATTACAACAAACTAAGGAAATCGCTACATGACAAATCGAGTGAATATCCAATGTTGTAAAAATTTTAATTTCAAACGCTCATAAAAATTTAATTTGACTGTCCGGTAGAGATTTTTTTATTGATAAAGGTAGATAATCTTATAAGGAATCTTGTGTTTCATTTTCAAATCTTAGATTTAAAAAGAAAAATTTTTACGAATTCTTAACTCAAAATAATTTGCTAATTTTCGTGATTTTTCCATATTTTGTCAATTTTTGAACTTTAAATGCTTATAAAAAAAAATTGTGACTAAGGATTTTTAATATTTTTCATCTGCCTTTGAAACAACATGTTAGGAGCCTTCTATTAAATTTTCAAGCTTTCGCAACCAACAAATAAAATTTTATTGATATTTCTAGAAAAAAACTAAAAAAAAATGAAAAATGAAAATGTCCCTAAACAGTTCAAAATAAATCAAAATATTTTGAAAATGTTATCGTGTATAGAAAATGCAAATATAAACAACCAGTGAAAATTTCATGTATCTATGGTCATTTGTTTTAAAGTTACACCAATAACCAAATTCGATTTTTTGGAAAATCGATTTTGCGTAAAAATTCCCGTTTTTCCTTAATTTTTATGTTGTTTTTTCCCGGCGCTTGTGAAAACTACTGGAAAATGTTTACTTTTGACCCCCCAAAGTACCAACTAGATTCACTTTCCTATCAGAAAAGGTACTATTGAAGAAAATCGAAGCATTTTTACTGTCCCAAAACGTGATGACAGACACAAAAATATAAATAAAAATATAAATAAAAATATAAATAAAAATATAAATAAAAATATAAATAAAATATAAAAACATACATCATTGTAAAACCAATACATTCATCGCTCCGCTCAGAATCTAAAAAATAGTTAATAAATAAAAAATAAAATAGTTTTCTTACAACGGGGTTATCGATTGTAATCAAATAATAGAATTTTCAATGAATGCATAGTTATTAATGTCACCAATTGAACATTTTAGATTCTGAGTGAAACGATGAATGTATTGATTTTACAATGATGTGTGTTTTTTTTTTTGTGTCTGTCATCACCTTTTTATTTTTATATTTAGACACGTTGCTTTCTTTTTTCAATCTTTCAATAAACGATAATAAATATCGGTATTATCTTTCAAAGGCATTCATCTTGATTTGTTGGTAAAATATGTTTTTCATGTTGTATCTAGTCAGTTACCTGGTACCTATTTCTGCTGATACGGCCTTAGCGTCATATAAAAGTCTATACTTGTGACAGTGGTGTACCTAAATTGCCTATTCAACACGCCGTGTGAACATTATACTTTATCACTGAAATGCATAAAAAATAATATAATTTTATAAGTGCCTACTTATAAAAACGTTAAAAACATATCCTATCAATAAGTTACCATCACGTCAACTGTCTGTCTGTTGCAACTTTATTCTCTTATATTTTATTTGTAAAAATCACTTAAAATGTTTGATAGAATTAATATTTATTGAAATTATTATAAGCAGTTAATATACTACTCAAGACTCAACTATTCATCACAATTATTTAATTAACCATTAATAATATATACTTTCTATCATTTATAGATAACATAATATATTTATAGAAAAATATGTAATATTTGTTTTTTTTGTGTTGTATCGACACAATTCTCTTGGAGGTATAGGAAATGGTAAATTTACAAATAGTATCCGAGTGCTAATTAGACCCCCAAACCCCCCAAGTTGGTGATTAGTTTTAACTTTTAACCGATGTCGGAAGCTGCAGTGGTATTTTGGTCTGGCCGTCGGTCTCGAGCCGGTTGGTGTGTGATAAGGAACTGTGATAAGGTTAGGACCACCGCGTATCGACGTGATAGCCCGGGTAAGCAACAACGTTCGCCGACAACGTTCTTTACTGCCTCCGGAAATTCGAAATTCTTAAAAAAAATCATATAGCCCCCGATTTTTTTGGTGTCTAGCAGGTCAGTCACCTCAGTTATCCGGGTAGGCAATCCGACTCCGTCGGATAGCGGACAATGTGCGACGGCCGGGTCACGTCATCAAGTATGCAATCCGACTACGTCGGATCGTGGACAGCGTTCATTACTGTCACCAAAAAAGAAAAATTAAGTAATAGATTACTTGAACAAATTTTTTTAAACATTTTGTTAGTCTATGCAAATAAACCTCATAAACCAACTCAACATAA